GCGTTAGGGGTGCAGTGCTGAGCCCACACAGGCCTCTGCCACAGGGACCTGATGCTCTAGCAGGACACAGCATCAGGTGCTCAAGCACCAGATCAGGTACCCACTTCTGGGAGCAACCCCATCCTGAATTTCTAGCCGATTCGGAGTTTCCTGTGCTGCCCGGAGAGCTACTATTTACTGGGCGATCGGGAAACCAGCAGCCTCCCCGGGGGTCTTCTCAGCCTCGTGCCTTTCAGAGGGCCTGGCACCTACGAGTGCCCAGCGTGTCCCGTCCCTGAGTTCTCCAGGCAGACGATTCATCAGACGCTCCTTAGCAGCACCACTGCCTAAGTCGCCATCTCCATGTGGCACTGGCTCTGTGAGAGCAGATGAAATGCAGCTGACCACGGCATGGAGGGCGACACTCACTCAGTGTCATGAAGACCCAACTACATACATCTCTAAGAGAACCGAAAATTCCTCCTCAAAACTGCGTCCCCTCCCCCAACCTGACAGTCGTTTCTTCAATGACAAGGCTCTTCTCTCCGGGGGATGGGTACTGCACTCGTACGTATTTTGTTCTGACCTGAAGGCTGTCGCCCAGTGGCTCATGGGTAAAGACCCCCGTCCGAGGAGACCTGTCCACCCCTCAGAAGCCCCACAGAGGTCATATCTAGCCCACCGTCTATTTTTATATACATAGAAGCCAAGAATGGTTTTTACATTTTTAAACGGGTAGGAAAAACCCAAAGAACATTTTCTGACCTGACATTTCAGAGCTATGAGAACACAGCTGCACTCACTCTGTGGCTGTCTCTGTGTCACATAGCAGAGCAGCCACAGACATGGTCCCAAGACCCTAGTACTCACAGCATGGCCCTTTACATAAACGTCTGCCCAGTGCTGTAAGTGTCCTCAGGGTGCAGACTGGGGCATGAGACACAAGAGGCCTGAACACATAGGATCAGCTGTAATTGGGGTGAGCCGGCCCTCTTGGGTCCTCGATGCAGTTACCTGCGGCTGGCATTCACCCAACAGCAGCCACCTCCACAACATGAGGTGAGAATGTCATCTGACGTATGTGACAATTCTGGCTGATCACTTCTAAAAGGTCAGCGCTCACAACGAAACCACCGCCTACTGGGTGACCACCTTCTGTTCATTCGCTCAACAAACACTACCGGGGCCCTACTGCGTGCCAGGCCCTGTTCTGGGAGGTGAGGACACAAACCGCGGTCCTCAGGGGGCAGGAACGGGCGGAGACCACACTGTAATGAGGACTGTGTGACAGGCAGTAGGAAAGCCGCTGTGACATCGCACACCTGATGATGTACAGGCCCTTCAGGGAACTTACTGAGCCGGAAGCCGTGACAACCCAGGAAGAGTCACGTCTCCATAAAAGCCTTACTACTTCCAGACCGCGAGTCCCCGGGCAGGACGGCTCAGCAGCCACATGGGCCCAGGAAGCTGGCTCTGCACGTCTCTCTGGTACTGAGCACACCATGATGTCCCAAGCTAACAAATGTTGGTCGTCACGCTGAGAGAGAGAGGCTTCCACACCAGAAGATGGGTACCCTTACTGCGAAAGTGGGGTAAGAATAGGGGTAAATGACTCTTCAGTGACGTGGGACTCAGAAACCCACACACGTTCACTGGGGCACTGAACGCCTTCCGGAAGGGAGCGAGGGAGCAGGGCTCACCCACTGACAGTGTGGTGGTGCGTCCTCGCTGAGGAGACTGCAGACATCGGGCAGGGCAGGCTCGTTCGGCTTCACCCCAAAAAGCCACACCCACTCTCTCCCTGAGTGCCGGCTCAGTCACTACGGTCTCCCCTGCCTCAGAGCCCAGTCAAGCTCAGCAAGAAGCCTCCGCACCCCTACACCCCCCCCACAGGAAGCATCGCCTCTGCCTGACCGCTGTAGCAGTTCCTAAATGTCTAGCAACAGGTCCTCCACATCCTGGTAGAGTCGGTTGGTCAAACAGTCCCAGGGCTTTCCTGCTGCATGAAAAGGGTAGAAAAACCAGTCGGTAAAATAGAAACCACTACGCCCTGCCTAATCCCAAACCACTGACGTACAAAGTGAAAAAAAGCAGGCTTGTCAGAACATATACAACTGGACACTCAGTGTGCCCAGAGCCTCTACTGCGAAGAGGACCTGAGTCTGGCTTCCCGATCGCAGGCCAGCCGCGTCCCCACTCTGGCCTCCACTCCCTCATCTGTAACACAAGACGCTGGACCAGACCCCTGCGTTTCGAGCAGAAAAGCTTACCAAGAAATTCCAATATCAGCTTTCATTAAGACTCAAGCAGTAAAACATTTTGTGGAAGCCTAACAAAACCACAGCTTCTCCAGAGAAGGCGGAAAGATGCTTTAAAATAAGAAACATATGCTAACACAATAAGCAAATTGCTGATTTTTCTTTTCTTCTCTTTTTAACCCATCTGTCAAAAGAAATGGTATCTGTCAAGTTATACACAACTAGCTGAAGTTTGAGCAGGCTTGTCCCCAGTAACTTCCAATGCCCCTTGGAAATCAGGGTCTCCCCTCTGGCCGAGCTGCCCTAAAGTGAAGCAATGACGCTTATTCTAGGGAGTGTTTGAGATCTTGCTCCCCAGCATGTGTCGTCACTTTGGTTCAAACCCTTACAAAATCATAAAAATAAAGTTTATGAGAATCAGTCCCTGGACCTGAAAGATGAAAAGGAAGATAAGTTGATAATTTCCACGTCTACCACCAAAAATTTTCACTCTCAGAACTCAAAAGGAACCACTGGACACGAAGTCCTCCTTTCTAAGGCCCAGCCCCACGTCTGGATCTGCCATCCGTTGGAGAGCACCTCCTGTGTTTCCATTTCTGTGGTTTTGACAAGCTGACCCCAGGCCTCGGGCACTGCCTTCTTCTGTGACTAATTCAGCTCCACATTTCAAAACAGTCCTCCATAGTCAATAACCTCCCTGAATATCAATTTCTTTTTTTAAAAGAAATATCCTGAACATACAAAGATGGATAGGCCCTTCGAACCCACCGCCCAGTCCTGGAGATAAAACACGGCGAAACCCTGGAAGCCCCCAGGCGCCCACCCATTCCCACTCCCCGCGCTTCCTTAGTGGAAGGCAGCCCTCCCGCTCACCGCATGGCACAGACACATACACGATCTCCTCAATCTCTGCAGAAACGTAGTCGTTCTGTATGCAGCCCTTCTGTAACGTGCTTTTCTTGTTCCGTTTAATGTTTATGGGTCACGCACGTTGACACCTAACAGCTCTCACTCCATTATAAGAATAGGCCACGTATCTGGGCCAGACACTGCTGTTGTTTCCTACGGCTGCCTTGCAGTGTCTTCTCTGGGTCAGCCACTTCCCATAACATTTTCCAGAACCTTCACAACCACCTAAAGAGGAAGGTAAGATTTCCACTACAGCAAAAAGGAAACTGGGACAGGGAGGGTGTGACGTGCCCAGCACATGAGAGCCTCAGACGCAGGCTGCAGGCTCAAGTCCATCCAGCTCTAAAGCACACTCCTGATGCCGCACTCCATGGGCCCGCTTACGCTGATGTCTCCATTAGTCAGAGCTTTTTAATGAAAAAACAGAGAGCGGGCTCCAAAGCCACCTGAGGAAAAACCTGAAATAGGACGCCGTGTTCTTTTCTAACAAATCGTTCCCCAGGAACTTGTTAAACTTGGACGGTGCACGGACAGTGAGGACGAGCCTTTCTTTGGCGAAGGCCCCGTGTGCTCGAGTTTATGCGAGTGCTAACGACGCCCCAGCTGAGCTGCAACACGCCTGGCTTCCCGCGGAGAAACAGGCTGTCCGCACAGCTCAAGGGTGGGGTGGGGGACCCTCCAAGGACATGGAGCTCAGGCTGGGCTTCCAGCGGGGAGGGCCGAGTTGACAAAGCTCTGAGGAAGAGCTGGGGGAGCAGCTCCAGCTGCCTCGGCTCCGGGGGTCCTGGGAGCCATCCTTGGCTCACGCGGCCAAGGCAGCCAGGCGCGGCCCACGCGTGCTCCACTTGGCCGGCTTTCCAGGGCTCTGTCATACATCCCAGCCCAGCCCCACAGCGCTGGAAACAGCCTAGCGTGCAACACGCAAGGGACGTGAGGGTGAGGGTGGGGGCACCCAGGAGCCCGGCAGGCAGCAGGGCTGGGGGACAGGAGCCCGCACCCCGCCAGGCCCCGGCCCTGTGCTCGAGGCAGCAGGGCCCCCAGGAGATTTGGGGGCCCCCGGGGCTGGGAGGGGCCTGTGGGCACGGGGACCAGGGCTGCTGACGCCGCCGCACCCCTTCCCTCTCCCACGCCGCTGCTCCCCCGGACTCAGGGAGCCTCCACACACGAAGGCAGGGCTGGGAGGCAGGCCGTCCCCCCTCCAGCCACAACGCCGGCCACGAAGGCCCTGCCACTACCGGCTGTGTGGCCTCAGCCGGGGCGTCCCTGCGGCTCGGAAGGGCCCCCGGGCTCCCTGTGAGGGGCCCGGTCAGCGGCCCAGCAGCATTGGCCAGGCGGGCTGGAGTCTAGCCCACTGCAGCCCCGCACCCCGCATCCAGGCGGGAGGTCCCCGTCCTCACTTCCCAGGGGAGGCCGCTCGGGCAGAGGTTACATAACTTAGCGAGGCCGACGAACCCGGCGTCCCGGGAGGGCTGCACAGGGCACCCCCAGGACGGGGCCACAGGGGAGCGGGGATAGGGGTGCGGGCGCCGGCTGCTCCCGGCCGCTCTGACCTGAGCCCAGGTAGCGGGTAAGATGGGGACACGTGGACAGAGAACGGGAAGCGGCGGGAAGGAAGGTGGCCTCAGAGAAAAGGGGGCTGGTGGGGAGGGCGCAACGGGGAGGCCGAGGCTCAGGAGGCCGCTGAGGGGCGCGGGCGGGTTGTGGGTGTGGTTCCGGGGTGCGGGCTGAGGGGCGCGGGGCGGGTTGTGGGTGTGGTTCCGGGGTGCGGGCTGAGGGGCGCGGGGCGGGTTGTGGGGGGCGGGCTGAGGGGCGCGGGGCGGGTTCGGGACGCGGACTGAGGCGCGGGGCTCCCACCTTGAGGACCGTGACAGCGCCCGCGCTGTGCACCTGGAAGTGCGCGGGCGGCTCGGCGCCGGGCTCGGCCGCCTCGTCGGGGCCCTGGTAGCTGAAGCAGGCGTCGGCGATGTCCAGGTGGCCGAGCGGCAGCGCGTCCTGCGGGCTCTTGAAGTAGTAGAGGTAGCAGCGGCGCGCGTCGAACACGAACCAGCGGCTGCGGTAGCCGCGCAGCGGGCCCTTGCCCGACAGCTTCTGCAGGTAGCCGCACAGCCGCGCCGGCTCCCGCCCCGGCCCGGCGCCCTCGTCCGCGCCGGTCCCGGGCCCCGGCATCGCCCGCCGCGCGCCCACCGCCGCCCAGCCCGGCCCCCGCCCGTGCGCGCAAGGCGGCCTGGGACTTGTAGTCCGCCCCCGCCTCGCCCACGGCGCCCGCGCAAAGCCGCCTGGGACTTGTAGTCCGCCCCCGCCACGCCCGCATCCCGGCGTCCCCGCATCCCGGCCGGCGAGGTCCCGGCGGGCCACCCCCGTCCTCGCCGCTTTCGTGTGCTGCACTATTGTATATCGTTGGTGTTGGTATGCGGGAGTGCGGGGCGCCCCCTCAACACCCTGAGTATCTCTGCACTTAAGTTACACCTCGGTAGCCAACTGCACGTTTAAGTCTGCGGCCCCAGATTCACAGGCTCGTACTGCACGAGTGAGACTGCCGCCCGGCGCGGCGCCGAGTGGGTGCTCGGTAAATATTTGTAGAATGCATGAATGAAAGCCAACGCATGTCCCTCCTCTGCAGACCTCATGTGCGCATTGGCTTCAACACATAAATGCTCGCTGAGTGCCTTCCGTGTGCCATGTGCAGATCCGGACACTGGGGACACAGTGGGGTCCCTGCCCTCACGGAGACTGTATTCTGGGAAGGGGGAGAAAATTTGTAGACACACGGACTGTGTTGTATAAATGCTGTGATGGCATTTGAATGACAATTACCACTTAAATATCCCTTAGCATTTACCAGGGTTTTATGTTAACTCACTGTGAACTTGCACAACTTCAAGAGGCAATTAGAATGATTTCCCAAGAAAGCAAAGTAAGAGGATGAGTCTGTGCCCACTGGGCAGAGCCAAGTAGAAGTGGCTCAAGCCTTCCAAGGCCCCATAGGGTCTCCAGGACCAACCCTAACGCCCTCTCCACCTCCAGACCTGTCCCAGGCCCCTTGCCTGCCACTCTCTCAAGGCCACTCTGGGATGCTGGTGACTTCATGAACAAATTCTACATGGTCTCACCCCTCACTCCTGGAGCTGTGAGCTGGAGGGGGCTCCACGACGGGGTTTTATCTCCTTTCCTTAGCATCTCCCCCCATCTTCGATTTGGACAATTTTTATAGTTTATGTAAAATTCTAAACAAATTGTGGCTCAGTTTCCCCCTTTTTCTAAGTAGATCACCTCCCCGCTCCAAGGCCCTCCTACATGGAAATTTGGCGGCTGCCTCTGGTGGCTCCAAATTCCTTGTAACCCTTCTTAGAAGGCTCGTTGACATTTTGCAGTTCCCAAGGCCCCTAAGGTTAAATGCCAGTGTCCTGTGGTCAGGGTCCAGCTTTACACAGCCCACCTGTGTCCCTCCCGTGTCTACTGCAGGCATACTTGGTACCGGAGGGCCTGCCCTGCGCGCCCATGTGAGTCCCTGCCCCCTCAAGCCTCTCGGGAACCCAGTGACCAGGAGGAAGTGGCCAACCCAGGAGGAAGTGGCTGCTGTTTACTAAAAAGGGGAAATGTGGGCAGTGAACTTGCTTTCCAAGCTTCCTGCCCTGATAGGAGGTTGGGGGGGGGGTGAATTGGGCTCTGGAGGGCAGGGTAGGGTTCCAAAAATAAGGGAGGGTCTGTGTGACATTGGGTGGGTCACCCGGCCTCCCTGTGTCTCTCCTTCTGTAGACTGCTCATCTGTAGAATGGGCATAACAATAGCAGCTACCTCCTAGAGCTGTTGCAACAAGACAGTCAGTACAAAGCGCTCAGCACAGTCCCTGATGTGCAGTAAGTCCTCAGTCTGGTAGCTGGTTCATTCAACAAATGGCCCCAGCCCTGCCCTTTGCCTCTGCCTGCTGTTGGTGCTGCTGAAACTCAGAAAAGGGTGGGCCTGCCTCCTGCTCCAGGAAGTTCCCAGCCTAGACAAGACGGGGAGCTTCAGAGATGAGCCCTGCCAGGGGCCCCTCCCGTCCCGGATCTGTGGAGCGGCTTCCAGGAGGCCTCATTTCCCTACCAAAGCAGCAGGCAAATCCACACACCATGTGGCTCTCTTCACTAAGTGAGGCTGATGCAGTATCGCCTTGTGCAGACATTTACCTGCACAATTTATTCTTGGTGATTTTGCACTTTTCTCGGTTTAGATTTTGGAGCCAATACTGGTGTAGGCTTTGCGTTTTGGTTTGTTTTCAGGTCTTAGACGTTTTCGTAGGCCCTTTCAAGTTCCCACTACCTGCCCATTGTCCTGTGAATAAAACAGGACAGGCTCTGTTTTGGTGGGGAGGGTGGCTGGAAGAAGCATCTCTGGGTACCACCCTCCCACCCCAGCAGCCACCGCGCTCTAAAGATGACAAGACGAGCTCGGTCGCTTAGTGGCATTGAGGGGCCAATAGAGTCACAGAACTGGTGACTCCCTGGACCAGTGCCAGCTACCTGCCCCAGTTTTTCTTGCAAAATGACTGAGCTTGAAGACATCCATTTGTCTATTCATTATTCATTCATTCAATATTTACTGAGCATAAATGAATACAAGCCCCCAAAGGAAGCAATCTGGCACTTTCTATCAAAATTCCCAATGCAAATATCCTTCTGATCATGCAACCCCACTTCTGGGTCTGTGTTCCATGGAGGTACTCACTCTTATGCTTAATAAAGTCTGTACCAGGTTATCCGGTGCTGCAATATTGGAAATAAAAATGCATGGAAAACAACCCAAATGATCACCAATAGGGGACCAGTTACAAAAACTACAGTGCGGCCATACAATGGAAAGCTATGCAGCTGTAACAAAAAGTGGTATCCCTTCTCTGTAGTCTTATGGAAGGGCTCCAAGATGTAGTATTGCATTGTTTAGTAAAGCAAGGCGCAAACCCTGTGTAGCATCCTACCCTTTATATATGAAAGGGAGGAAAAGAAGAACATACATATTCACTTGGATATGCTTAACCCAGGAAGGACACTCAAGACATGAGGAACAGCCGTTACTGTGGGAGTGAGATGGGAACTGGCTGGATGGGGTTTAACGCTTGGAGGGAGAACATTTTTACGGATACCTTTTCATATGGTTTTATTTTTAAAAGCCATGTATATGTATCATATAGTTGAACTATAATTTAACATATTACCGCTTGAGCATCTAATTAATGGTGCCAAACACTGTTCTAGGCACCGAATACAGTGGAGAATGAGGCTGACGATATGAGAAAAAAGAGAGAGGGTCGTTTATTCTCCACTCCCTAGTACAGTGGAACGCATCCATGCCCCCTAATGGAGTAACAAAAATTACTAGAATTGCCTGAAAAGTCCGCTTTGGCCTTCTACCCGGGAGGCTGGCTGCCAGAGCGCTTGGCAATGTGCTCGGTTTCCACCGTACAGGCTCAGGGAAGGAAGAGGGTTGGTGCTGGGATCTGGCCACACGAAGGTCTGCAAGCATCTTTCTGGTGAAACCTCAGGTTTCCCCCCGAGAGGACACCCAGACTGAGTACTCTCAGGATACAGTACATTTTGGATAATCTATTACCATGTATCGGTCCTAGAAGAGAAGCATGACCTTGAGAGAGGAGAACCCAGGACAAGGACGTTTTGATCAGTCAGAGACTTAGGGTTCTGGGGACTTCTCAGCCCTGTGATGACTTGGGAGCTGAGATGACATTTACTGTCTGTGCACAGCAATTCCCAGCCACTGTTCTGCATAGATCGGCTCCTTGTCTCCCCAAACCCTACCTGGTGGGGCCTATCTCTCCTCTCCTTTTTTTTACAGATGAAGAAACGGACACAGCAAGGTTGATCCCTCACTTAAAGTCACAGAGCAAACGGAAGCTGGGATTCCAAGCCCGTTAGTCGGACTCCATAGCCTGAAACCTCCTGACGGCTGTCTGTCTACACCTCGGGACCCCCACTGTGGAGAAGAGGGGCAGGGCTGCTCCGGGATCCTAGCTCCCAGGGCCCGGTCCCCAGTAGGTGACCCAGCGATGAGCTAAGTGAGATGCAGAGCACTGTCAGAGACAACCAGCTCACTCGATGCCCCACCTGATGCCCCAGACCTGGGCCTCACCCTCCCTGTCCACATTTCTCTGGGGTGAAAATAGACCCCTTTTATTTGCCTGACTGAAGCCGGCCCTGGGTTCTGCCCCTCTCTCACACAAAGCCCTTGTCTTCTTATGTAAATACCCAGGCTTTGCTCATAAATGTATCCGGCCTGACAGGGAGGTGGAGAGAGAACAGCTCATGGAAAATTATAGAAACACATTTCTTTGTTATTTGAATATTTCCAGGACTTTATGTTGCCAGCGCCCGGACTGGGTCAGACCCCAGCTTCCTCAGCCTGTTTGTGCCGTGAACAGCTTTGGTACCCGGTGAAGCCAGGGACTTCTCAGAACACTGTTTCTAAATGTATAAGATAAAATGCGTGGAATCACAGTAGAAATCATCTATACTGAAAGAGGGTTATCATTATATTTGTGATGTACTAACATGATGTGCTTTTTTTTTAAGATTTTTATTGGGGAATTGGGGGGATGGGAACAGTGCTGGGGAATTGGGGGAAGGGGAACAGACAAGTTGCTGTCGTTTTGTTCTTCAATCTAGTTGTGGAGGACGTTGCTTCACTGGCCCAAGTTGGCACCATCATTGTGCTCTTCCCGGGCGAGGCAGGTCAGTTGCCGGCTTCTAGATGGCCGCTCACTGTAGCGGCTGGCCGCTCACGCTGGCTGCTGGCTACACACGGTAGCCCATGGCAACCCACTGCCACAGGGGCCGGCGACTCACGGCAGCCCAGCTCCAGGTCGAGCTGTTGTTCAGCATCTTAGCTGTGGAGGGTAGTGTCACTGGCCCTCATATGTGGGATCCGAACCAGAGCCCTCTGGCGTCCCAAGCCAGTTCTTAACCAACGCCACTTGGCTGCCCAATGTGCTTCTTTATTAGCATGTTAAATAACAGGACCCAGTATTGGGTCTCATTCTTACAATGGTGAGGTGATGATGAGCAAAAGCGGTTATCTCAATATGTCTGGAGCAGCTGTAATGTGACATGGAAATCTCTGTGATTTCTGTTGGTGACAAAGCCACCGGTGCTGTGAACAATCACGAGATTTGTCCCCTGCATTTGCCATGGAAGGAAATGCTGAATTTCACTGAGAAGTTAGGGAAGATAAGGATGTAATGCACCATGCACCCGCCTGCCCCAATGGACAAAATTCTGCTCCTTGCCAGCTTGGGGCTGGGATTTCCAATCTGCTCCCCGCGTATCCCTGACTTATATCTGTTGCAGGAAGACCAACCAGGAAGCCCGAGAACGTGGCTTCCTCCCTGTCCCATAGCTGGAGCTGATGCCTCACTATCAAAGCTGGAAATTAATTGTTTATAAGAGTGCCGTTCCCCCTGGCTGACCATCCGGAGACACTTCCTTTGTGCCTGTCCCTGTGCGGAGAGCGAGTATTTCACTGCGGCTCCACATGTGAGGGGACGCCCTGGTGCTCCTGTCACAGCTGGGAACTGCCCAGGGTGAGGTCGCAGGCTCACCTCAGGCCCTCGTCTTTTTTCTAAATCACATGCATCATACACCTGCCGCCAGCCTTTGGATCTTGATTTGAGATGACCACCACGATGAAGTTGTAACAACAGCAACAATGAAAAGTTACCAACACGACAGCATGTCAGGGTTGTTACACCACCACCATCCTCCTCCGGGTCGTGGCTCCTAATTGCCTGTTATTCCAAATGCTCAGGACTTCACTCATTTAACCTTCCTCACAGCGGGTCGGAGTCTTGTCCCTGTTTCAGAGATGAAGACACTGGAGCCCAGGAGAGTTGTCACTTGCTCCAGGTCACATAACTAGTCAGCTGGAATTGGAACCAGGCAATATGGCTGTAGCACTTTTTTTTTTTTTAAGTCAACTGTTTTGTTGAAGTAGAACATAGGCCTAGAGGAGTGCATAAATTGTGAGAGTCCATGAATTTTCACAAAGTGAACACACTCATTTCACCCACCACCCAGGTCGAGAACTGGAACGCTAGCCACCAGTACCCTGCAGCCCCTCGGTCCTGCCGGCCATCACCTCGTCCTAACTTGTATCACCATCCATCAGTTCTGTCTACTTCTCAATTTATGTAGATGGTCCCTCATTCTTAACCATTACACTATTGCATCTCATCCTCATGATGACCCTCGAGTTCAGAAAACAAATCCTGAATGGAAGGAGGAATCAATCAGCACCAAACTTCACCAAAATACAAACTTCCCTCCGGGAAGGAAGCGTGCATAGAGTTTAAACCCATCGCTTCGCTAACGTGGCAAGGCTGTGGGTGTCAGTGTGAAAAGGACTGGAGGTTGGGGGAAAGAGGTCACATCCGGGGGGCAGCTCATCTGTGGGCTGGCCGTCAGGGATCTCCTCCCCTGCCTCCCTGGCTGCAGAGGTGGCCCTCCCGCCAGCGTCTCTGGGCAGCCACCAGCCCTGAGGTGACAATAGGGCTCCTGTGTGCTGTTGGCGGTTGGGGCGGGCATGGGCTCAGGCAAATGAGCCAGAGCGCACACAGATATAGAGGGCGTGGGTCTGGGCTGGCTTCCACTTCAGAGCACACCGTCATGGAAGGTAGCCTAAAGCAGCTCAGCCTGGAGCGGGGGCCCGAGGGGGCGGGGGACAGCCAGGGGCAGGCCGCGCTGCAGGAGCTGGCCCTGAGGTGGTTCATGGAGACACAGGCCCCCATCATTCTGCAGAATGGAGCCCTGCCCCCCTGGTTTCACGGATTCGTCACACGCAAGTAAGGCTGCCCCATCCGCATGCCCGGCATGGCCCACGGCCCCCCAAGACCGAGAACACGGTCTGGGGACTATGGGACAGGACCGGTTCCTGTCCTCTCCCTGGGCCAGGCAGGGACCCAGGAGGAGGTGGGTGGGGGAGCAGACTGAGGGGTCTCCTCTCTGTGTCTAGACACAGAAGAGCAGCGGGAGCAGGGTGCCTTCAGACCAGCTCTGAACACCTAGGGGACCCTACACTTATCCAGAGCGAGCACTGTGAGTGCCTGGGCTACAACTTGTTCAGTGGGGACTGCCCCAGGCAGATCTGGATGTACAGTTATCCTGAAATACAGGCCAACATGTGGGTGTTGGCTTTCCCAGCGGGCTGGACGCCAAGCTGCCCACGCACTAGATGAAGGAGCCACAAAGCCAGCTGGTCGTCAGGGGCTCCTGGCAGTGCGGCACAGGGGCCCGCTTGTGCAGTCCCACGGGCCCTACGTAAAGAAGGGCCCATTCTTGGGTTCATGCTCACCCTGTCACTATCTTGAAATTCTTCTTTTGGGAGCAAGGGGCTCCATGTTTGCATTTACTGGGCCCTGCACACTTTATAGCTCCTCGTGCACAGAGCAGACGCTCAGTTCATATTTGGTGAGTGAAGGGGGTGAGGGACTGTCTGTTCTATGTGCTGCCACCCCAGATGACAGCTGGGATTTCCCAGCTGGGGTTTCCCCCCAAACCTCCAAAATACTTGACACCATTGAGAAGTCTCCATAGCTGCCGGGGGCTGGCGGGGAACGTGCAGGGGTGTGAGAATCTACGAGCTGCTGCCGTGACCAGGCTCCAGACAAACTCTTGTGAAGTGCACATCCTATACAACTGTGCAGAGTAGTCCTGGGCAACAACTCCGTAAACCTAAGAATCTCCAGCTATATGGATTCCTTCTCGCTACAGAGCCAGTCAGGGGGACAGTGGGTGGCCACGGTCAGTGGCCATTGTGCCTGCTGGTGAGGCTGCACTGGGGGGTGGTACACTAGGCCTCAGGACTCCAACCCAGCCCCAGGTCTGAGGCAGTCCCTACAGAGGGTTGGCGGCCTGTGCACTGGGCTTGGCACCCAAGGGCAAGGCCAGCAGGGACCCCGAGGCGTTCAGAGCACAGGCGCCAGCTAACGGCATGTCCTCTGTCCAGGCAGACAGAACAGCTGCTCAGGGACAAAGCGCTTGGCTCCTTCCTCATCCGTCTCAGTGACCGGGCCACTGGCTACATCCTGTCCTACAGGTAAGACAGGATGCCCCCTGCAGGCGGGCTGGCAGGCTCGCGCTCCAATAACCCAGCCCCTCCCCCGCTTGAGCCCAGCATAGAAGGAAGATCAGCAACTTGGCTGGGCAGAGGAGGAGGTGTGGGAGACCCAGGTGCTGCCGGCCACAGGTCTGCATGGCTCCTGTGGAGTGGGACTTGGGGGGCTGGTGATGCTGCCTCGTGCACCTGGAGGCTTGGACCTCATCTTTAAGATTTTGATATTTTGTTTGTCGTGGGTTTGGTACTAATTTTGATTTTCTAAAATATTGGATTATTAGCTGTCTTAATTACTGAGTTTTGTGGCGCCCTTGAAATTTTGCAGCAAACTAGTGCCTGGGCTCCCTCACCCCATCCCATCCAAGCCCTGCCCTCCCTGCATCCCCCCAGTTTGAGGTACTTCCTGGGAACCTTGCTCCTCACCTGTCCCACTCGACAGAGGGGCACTCCAGGGCCCAGGTGGCCCCACTCAGCCCGGTGCCCTCCCCGCACCAGGCTCTAAGCCCTGAGCCTGGGCCCTGGCTGGGCTGCAGTGTCAGCGGCCTCAGGTCACTGGTGTCTGTGTTGCAGGGGGGGCGACCGCTGCCGACATTTCGTCATCACCCAGCTCCAAGACCGGCGCTACCTCGTCCCCGGGGACACCCACAGCCACAGCAGCCTGGCTGACCTCGTGCGCCATTACCAGGAGGTGCAGTTTGAGCCCTTTGGGGAGACCCTGGCCGCTGCCTGCCCCCGGGTAGGCACCCCCTTCTCCAGGGTGAGGGTGCCCAGGGCTGGGTGTCCACCACTGGGGGCCACATGCTGTTTATTCCCTATTTACTGCCATCCAGGGGCACTCAGCTAGGGGTCACGGTCCCTATTTGAAAGGCAGTGTCTCCCCGGAGCTCAGGGACCTGGTGGGCATGTCTCAGTCCTGGACGGTGGCCTCGCCGGCCAGGGGAGTGTAACCAATGCCTTCTATGCTCCCCCTGTCTCCAGCCAGAGGACAATGATCTGTACGACGCCATCACCCTGGGCTCCCACCACACCAACCCAGGCCATGAAAACCCACCAGCCACGGCATCCCCCACGCGCGTCCCAGACAAGGCTGCTGGCCCCTGCCTCCCTCCAAAGTCCCAGGTCTCCTTCCTCCACATGAAGAAGAGCCTGGACGCGAGTCCCTGGAACCTGGCCGAGGAGGAGACCGTGGAGGTGAGCAGGGCTCTGGGCCTCCAGGGTGTGACGGTGGCGTGTTATTACACCGAGTGTTACAGCAGCGTGTTGTACTATGTAGCTGAGTGGTACGTGCCACCTGCAGGTTAGCGCACAAACTCCCAAGGCTGGTCTTACCATTGAGTCTCAGCACCTAGTACAGTGTCTCCACAGTCTGTGCTCACTAATATCTGTTGAACGAATGTACACGAATGATTAACTTGGGGATGTGCCATTCTGAAGGGGGAGGGACAGGGGGCCCTGCCCAGGAGGGTTTGGGGACCCTGAAGGACCAGTGGACCACCGTGGAGGCAGGATGAACTTGGCTGGAGAGCTGGTGAGCCCAGGCTTTGCCAAGATAAAGACTATCCTGAGTCCTGCACAGTCACTGGCCGAGTCCCTGAATGCATGTAACCAACCCATGTAACGGTCAGGTAAACTGAGGCCGTGGCGGGGGGGTCTCGGCTTATCTGAGAGAGCTTCAGTTTACCTGTCAGCCTCTTAGTGATGGGTGACCTTCACGAGGTTCTCTGCCGCTCTCCTCAGGTCCCCATCAGAATGCCCCCCCTTCCCGAAAGGAGTGCCTCCCTTCTAGAAGAGTCTTTTGGAGGTGCCAGCGACATCCTCTATGCAGACCTGAGGAAGATGAACCACGCACGGCTAGGTCGGGGCACAGACGTGTCCGGCAGGCACGGGCCAGTTCCCCCTGGCAGTCAGGCTTGCTCCCCAGGCAAGGAGGCCCCAAAGAAGCTCTCCGATGGTGGCCCAGGGCCTGTCCTTTCTGGGGGGAGCCCAGACCAGGGTCCTACAGCGCCTCCCACTTCCTGGGTCCCCAGGTCTGAGGCTCCAGGATCCTCAGCTGCTACCTGGAGCCAGGGGTCTCCAAAGCAGAGCCCCAGGGCTCAGCCCTGCTCCCACGGCAGCTCTGCAGACACCTATGAGCTCGTCCAGGAAGAGGCCAGGGATGGGCCAGACCAAGGAGAAGGCAGTACCTACGAGCAGATCCCAGCCTGCTGGGGTGGCCCCGCCAGGCCCCCCTATCCTGGGGCCAGTGCCACATACAGCAAGCTGTCGGGGCCCACGGACTGTGGCTGTGAGAGGAGCTTGGGGACACCAGAGCCAAGCAACACTTATGAACAAATCACTGCAGCCAAGAGCAAGGGTGCTGGACGGACACATAAGGTGGGCTCCATGGGGGGGGGGTGGGTACCTGTGGCCCTCCGGCAGGGGGAGGGCAGGTCACTGCCCGTGCCCAGAACTTTACAGCCCTTACATCTGCTTGGGGTGGTGGGAGACGCAGCCGTCAGATTTGGATGTAAAATGGAGGCTTCCAGGCCCTTTTGAGGTCTTTCTCTGCAGCAGATCGGCCACTATAGGGGTGCCAGAGCCCCTGAGAGGTGGAGAAGGGGCCCTGGCTCCAGGTCTGACTTGTCACCCCTCAGCCGCTCCCCAGCCATGTGGCTTTGGGCAAAACAGTTTCCCAGGCAACTGAGGTTTGGCAGGTTTAGCAAGATGAAATATAGGACACCCAGTTAATTTGAATTCCAGATAAATAGCCTGTATTTTTTTTTTTTTTGCGTAAGTATGTCCCAAACACTGCAGTTATTTACTTATCTGAATTGAAACTTAACTGCTCAAGACACAGCCCAGAGCTGTTATTCTGAGGATTTCTGATAAGAAAGGAGGGAAGGGGACGCAGGGGTCAGGAGGGTGGAGGTAGGTGGTCAGGGGCTAGGAGGCAGAAGGGCCCTCCTGAGCCCCCAGCCCCACACCCTCTGGGGACACCCCCAGACCTGGGGGACATGCAGACCTCTCCTGGTAAACAGTGCAACCCCGCCCCATCTGAAAGGCCTCCACAGGAGGCTCTGCCAGCTCCTCCCTTGGGGCTGGGTTGTACCCACACACCCGGGACAGGGCCCTGTCAGGGCTGCCTCTGTCGGGCCCACAGGTCCTGCCGTGGACAGTCCTCAGAACCACAGAAGCCACATCCTTGTCTGCTATTCCTCTGGCTGCAGACACACGTCCTCTGGTCCCTGGTGGCACCACGCACAGCCCCACTCCATTCTACCTGGGACACCAATGCGTCCCAGGGCCCGGCTGGGCAGACAGTTCTGGGGCTAGGAGACCCCAGGACCCTCCAGCAAGGGAAGGGGCACCTGGCCTTTCCTCTCCACCGCTTTCCAAACCCCTTCCTCCCCTTAGCCTCCTGGGTCAGGAGAGGGGAACCCTTCACCCTAACTGGAGGGCTGACAACTTGTGAAGCAACACCAGTGTTGCAACCTGGCCTTCTGCGGGGCTCGGCCCCAGCCCCCAGCCAGTTGTTGAGGGACCCTCTGAGCCTAGGTCTCCCGTCACGGCAGGGACCCCCGGCTCCAGCGTATTTTCCCTTCTTGCAGCCCGACAAGCTTCGGAGGCTCTTCTTCACGGACAAGAAGTACAGATCCTGAGGACTGGCTTCCAGCAGCCTACACCATGGGTTTCCCGGTACCGGAGCCATGCCAGGGAAGCCCTGAGCTCACCTGAAGTGCTCCTCGCATCCTCAGACCACCCCCACCCCCACCCCACCCGTGAAGGAGCCAGCCTCAGAGACAGCGCCTGTGTGCCCACCCGGAGACACAGCAGAAGGGGCTTTCCAGCTGTCCCCTAGGCCTCCCACCCATCCAGAGAAGAAATTAAGGCCTGAGAGGAGGGGACTCGCACGCCTCCCATGAGACCCAGACCCAGGTCCTGCCCTCCAACGCGCCCTGAGGGCCTTGCCCGGTGCCAGCTCTGGACGCAGGGCACTCGGCCTCTCAGCATGGCCATCCCTCAGGTCAGGATGCTCTGGCTGGGCCCCTTCTCCTCAGATCCTTTGGTCTGTCCCACTTCCCCTCCTACCCGTGTCCCCACCTCCCTAAGGGTGACAATCAGCTTGGTTGTCCCTGCCCACTGCCCCAGGCCTAGGAGGCAGAAGACAGACTGACCATCCCCAGAGGACACCACAGCCCCTCTGCACCCCGTCCTGGGCAGAGCTGGCCCAGTTCACCTTGGCGGGGATATCTCCCCTCAGCGGTCTCTGGGCAGGGCAGCTTCCTTCTGAGGAAGGGGGTGAAGCATCCCCACCGCCCAGGGGTGTTGTCAGGATTGAGCACGGCAACCAGCCTGCACCTGACACACGGTCAGCGCCCCATAAATGTTCCCCGGAACCACTGTTATCATGAGAGAAATGGAAACAGTTCTCACCCAGACTCCGTCCCACGTGGGGCTCGCGTCACGATTTGGGGCACAGATGTGTCTTCCTCCCAAAGACACAAGCACTGAAATAAAAGTTAGTGCCTGAGCAGGAGGGCACTGCTGGACGCAGAGCTGATGACCAAGGACCGGGGAACGTTTACGACACTGGCAGACGCGGAGAGCATGGGGACAGGAAAGTGTTTTACTAGCAGGAGTTCACACGTTTGTGGATAGTACACAGAGAGGGCAGAGAGAGGGACCGAGCCCTGGGACCCGCTGTTCACACAGCTTCATGTTGGGAAGGGTGGGGGGGGGCAGGCTGTCCCCAGCCATGGGGTTGGAGAAAGATTGCATAACTCCTTGATCTCATCCTCTTTTTTCCCCACTTTGCCTTGGCTGGCCAGGGTGTGTTTCCAGCACGTGGACAAGTCAGTACCCCCTGCCCGTTAGCTATTCCTCCTTCCCCTTTCAGGGGGCCGTTCTAGTGGGGAGAGTACTGGGGTACAGGGCAAGGTCAGGGGACAGAGGGAAGGCCATGGAGGGGCTGTGGGCCCTGGGGCCAGACCAAAGGGGGGCCTGGGAAGGGCCTGCGCCTCACAACCCCCTTCCCTGGTTAAGGATTTTTTGCTGAAAGGGCCAAGGAAATGTTCACGGGTGGACCCTAGAGGCCATAACTCCTGTCCTGTTTGGAGGTCACTTGCATGTAGACAGCAGAGCCGGATGGTGGGCTTCCGGGCCCCTGCGACCTCAGCAGTGTCCTCAGATTCGGACATGGAAGGTGCTGGGAAGAGAGAAAGGGGCTGCGTGGGAAAGGGCCCCTGCCCGCCCAGCCCTGACGGTTCCTTACGGGGATGCGGGGGACCCAGTTAACGCCGAGGGAAGGACAGCTTGGAGGACCGGCCATGCCCTGGGACCCACCCCAATGTCACCAAAGGCCCCAGGACTTTATCCTTCACCCGAGAGCTGGCTCTGCAGGGGACAGGGAACTTCCCAGTCACACACTGAAGAAGCTGGACCTGGACGCGACCTCCTTCCTGCTTCCCGGCCGCCCGGGGCCTGAGGGCACCTCTGCTGTCCTGAGCAGTGACCGGGCCTCGCCCCACCCCCGGGTCCCAGGTGGCCAGGCCCTGGCTGCGCCCCCACACCAGCCCGCCCTCCCCGGTGCGCCCCACGCAGCACCTGATGAAGTCGGGGGACTTGGCGATCATGTCCTCAAAGTCAGCGTAGCCCAGCTTGCCGTCGCCGTCCAGGTCGGCCTCCTCGATGACCTTGTTGCACACGAACACCACCTCCTCCTCCTCCAGCCCCGACCTGGTGAGCTTGGCCAGCGTGGTCTCCAGGTCCTCCTTGCAGATGAAGTTGTCGGTGTTGAAGTCTGTGGGGATGGGGTCGGGACGCTCAGACCCAGCCGGCGCCTGCCCTGCGTCACCTCCTCTGCGTGGTCACACCGTGTATGTCCACACACACTCTGGGGACACTGGATCCCTGTCCCCAGCAGACAGGGACCAAGGGGGCTTACCCACTGGGCACTTTTACACACCACATTCAATAGTCACAGCCCACAAATCCACCAAGGACTTAGACACTTCAAATGTCCAAATCTGAGGTCTCCTGGGGACGTGTCAAGACCTAAGGAAACCCAGGCCTGAGAGGCCGATGACTGAATCAAGGTCAGAGGGCTGCATGGAGGGTTCTGACCGGGCCTGTGAGACGTGAAGACCACATTTTCTCAAGTGCACCCTGCTGCCTCTGGCCCTTGGCTAGGCTCATCGGTCAGGAGACGCAGAGGCCACTCAGGGGACGCCCTGTGGCCGGGCTCTGTGCACACAGGGCGGGGATGTGATTTGACTGCTTGGCAGAAGGCACTGCTCTGCTCCATAGCACAGGCTTGGCGGTCACCTTCGTCCCTTCCTGACTGTTTTCAACCCCACGACCAGACTTTCGCACAGTACGTTTCTTCTGCCTGGAGGGCCCTTTCCGCTTATCCGTCCAGCAGACTCCTAGGCGTCCCTCAAGTCTGGCTCAAACATCACCTACGGCTGGGGAGCTTCCTAGACATAAGGGCTCCCCGCCACTGAACTCCCTGCCCACTGGTCAAACCCTGACACGACGGTAGTGACAAGGGCTTAACTGCTAAGGTGAGTATTGCATGTTCTGGCTCATTCAATTTCCAAAACAAGCCTTCTCGGCAGTAATAGCTAGAATCCCCCGCTCCACAGATGAAGAGACAGTGGCTCAGAAGGCCCAGTGACCTGCCTGAGGTCACATCCCTGTCTGTTAGGTCCTAGAGCCAAGCTCCCAACACATACCCTGCCATGTGCACACTGGCCTCTGGACACCCCAGGGCAGCTCACCAGGTGGGCTCACCGCTGCCCTCGGAGGGGCACCAATATGCTCTCAGGAGGGGTCTGCTGGCTGACAAGCTGGCTGGGCTCCTGCAGGGCGGGTGACATGGGGATTCCTGTGCCCCTTTCATATGAGGACACAGGTCCAGGAAGGCTGATCCTTGCTGGAGGTCAGACCCTGTGTCCCCAGATCCCCCGCTGCCTCTCCCCACTCCACCCCCAGCCCCGGCAAGCAAGGGAGCCTCAGTCCTCCCATCATGTGTCCCCCATGCCATGCTCGGCACATCCCCTCTCTGCAGACAACAGCCCTGCCCAGGAGCAAGGCCACAGGGTCCAGGATGAGCAGCTTTCCCTGAAGCCACGGGCACCGTGTGTGGTGGGTGGACATGCGGGCTTTGTGCTTCTGACGTGCAAACACAAGTGGGTGCAGGATGCACAGAGGCCAAAGTCCTCTGAAACGCACGTGACAACCACAATGTGAACCACAGTCCCTGAGAGGCCCTGGTACCCGGTGGATCAAAGGTCCTGGGGCCAGGAGGTGTGTCCGTGGCTCCTCTGATCCCTGACTGGTCCGCTCCCTTCCTGGGCCGCAATGTCCCTGCCCGAGGACTGTCTGAGGATGGACCACCAGTCATGTGGTCTCCCGTCACTGCAGGACCAGGGCTTCGTGGTGCCCAGCGCCCTCTGGTGGCCGGGATGGGGAGAGGTGAGGAGCCTCTACTCGGGCAGCGGGGGGTCCTATGGGAGCCTCGCCACCTGGCAGAGGCCTCAGCCTAGCTCCTCCAGCTCTCACTCCAGGGTGCCGTGTGACCTCCTAGAACCCAGAGCTGCCCTGCCCCATCTGAAGCCCTGTGGTGGCCCCATGCCCTGGGCAGCAGGTCCAAATGCCTTGGCTGGCTTCCCACAGCCTGGCCCCAGGGGCCTCCCTGACTCTCATCCCACCATGTTCCCACTTCCTTGTCAGCACACTCTGCTTCCCGAGTCCTCACAGGCTGCTCCCTCTGCCCAGTACCCGCCCACTTCTCCTGTCTCCCGGGCTCCATTACCGTAGACCTTGAAGGCATAACTGGCCTTGAGATCTCGGGGAGCCGACTCGCAGAGCACGGAGAACATGTCCACAAAGTCGTTGAAGGTCAGGTTCCCCTCACCGTCCTCGGAAAAGGACTCCACGATCCTCTCTTTGAAGGGGTTTTCCTGCAGAGAGAATCACAGCGATCACCTAGGGGCAGGGTAACAGCTGACAGCCTCTGTGACCTTGGACGGGTGACCTAATCCTCCTGGGCCTCAGTTTCCTCATCTGTAAAATGGAAATAATGATCGCACCCACTTAACTGGGCTGTGAGAAGACTGAGCGAGTTACGGCGGGGAAGGTGTGCGAGGCCTGCACCTGTAAAAGCTCAGGGTCAGGCTGTGTCACGCTGTATCACCCCGATGAGCACACAGCCAAGGCGCGCTCACTGGAAGATGACCACGGTGAGGCAGGAGTGAGAGAGGACAACAGCACCCAGCATGGGCAGCCCTCAGCTCATGCCAGGTCAGGCCAGGACAGTGGGAGGCAGAGGTGGGGCCCCAGATGCCTGGATGCCGGTCGGGACAGACAGCGAGAGGCAGAGCGCGGCAGACCCAGGCCAGCGATCACCCAGCTCCTGAGAATTCTCCTGCACCAACCCAGAGGCCACCGGCTCCTCCTCTGATCCCAGGTCACTCAGGGCCATCTCCTGCTGTCCTCCAGCCCACTCAGAGAAAGCCACGGGCTTCCACCCAAGTGCCCTGCACTCCATGACCCTGAGCCTAGGCTCACTGTCCCTCAGGACTGAGGTCACAGCCGGGACACAGGCCCCAAGGGTGACGCCAGAGTCACATGTCCAGGCCTGGCGAGGGGCTGTTTGCAAAGTCCCACAGCACCGTGGAGATGGGCCCTGAATGCTTTCCCAGTGGTGGAAGCATTTTGCACGTATTGAGGGTGAGGAACTCAGGAATGAAAGCTTTATGCCACACATCGATGTGGTCTGAGGACCAGCAGCATCGCCCACCTCCCAGGGGGTGCTTGTTAGAAAAACAGAATCTGGGGCCCCCCCCCCAGCACTACTGAACCCGAGTCACATTTTGACAAGACCCCCAGGTGATTTCTGTGCACCCTGGTCAAGAAGTGATGGGGCAGGTGACGTGCCGTGAGAGGCCACAGCCAGACAAG